TGTTCCATTGATTTTTAATTATATCAGCATTATTTCGGCATAGCAATCCCTTTAAGGGGTTATAACCACTTCCAAACTTGAAAAAACGCGTTTTTTAGTAAATATTTTTTTAAAGCATTTTATTTGATAACTAAAAAAAGCGCATTTAAAGAATTAAATGTTATTTTATAATCGGCGATTCCATTTGAAAAATTTGGGATCCTCTTGATCTCGTAACTGGTCTCCGGAAGGCCCCCAAAACAAGGTGTTTGCCAGTGAGAAAAATTTCTCTGCTTAAAATTATCTCAAATCCAAAAACAAAAACAAAAAGTTATTACAACAGACGAATTCAGATAAGGATCGAGGGCTAGTAACGTGCATGCAGAAAGTCGTGTGATAATTTCGAGCCGAATATAAATATCATAATAATTTTCTATTAGCGGATTTATAAAAATATGTCTTAAAATAATTAAACTTTAACTTTTAATAACTCTTGCATGGTGAGGATAAGGAAAAAGTAGGGGACTGAAAAGCGGAAGACTTTCCTAATTTATAGAAACCTCGTAACTGGTTTTCCAACCAATTTTTCAGAGCATAAGTGAAAGTTTTTACCCCCCTTCCATAAAGATTTCAAAATAGTTCTTAACATATTCAAGTAATTCAAGTAATGCACCCATTATATACGATAATGGTATAAGTATATGTATGTATGGTCCTGCTGTGACTGATGGATGTTTTGACAGCTAGCCGGCTGCGTGCTACAAAAACACAAAAAATAAAATAAAATAAATTCGCATGCTATAAATGCTGAAATGGCGAGTGCCAACACAGTGAACACCATAGCAATCCGGCAAGCCGAGGGTGGTGCGGGCAGCAATGCGCTTGAAAAAACAAAACTCTAAAAAATGTACTACCCTCTGCTACTTCAAAAAAAAAACGCTCGAACTTTGATTTCGTACCATTTGGGATGACATTTGGTGCAATGCGCGAGGCATTGGTTAGCTGGGCACAGACCAACGAAGAAATGAGGCCGAAAAAAGTTGTCAAGCAAAAGAGACGACAGCTGTTGTTGTTGTGGCACTTGCAAATGCAGCAAATTGGGCTTCGCCAACTTTGCGGTTGCTCCGGGCGCATGCTTTGTGTCTGCCAAAATAATCTCAGGCTGAGCTCAATTTCATCACAGTACACACTGACAATGTTGCTGTTTGGCTATTTTTTTTGTAATTTTTGATAAATACACATTATCTTTTGGATGCTGCAAGCAACTGTTGCTGAAATTATATGCTCACAGCACAGCGGCCAACAGATGCCAAAACCTCCACATGATGAGCATAATTACAAGATATTTAACTGTAGCAAGCAAAATAAGAAAAATTGCTAATTGAAATTGTATGGAGCCTTTTGTTTTTTTCGAAAAAATACATCATAGGCGGACTTAAGTACATGTTACGAGAATTTTTGTGAAATACAGTTAAATGAAACCCTTATATTCGAAGTCTATAGAGAATAAGCATATACATAATTGTACGTTGGTGGTCGTTTTACCGATGCTAATAATAATCATTGTTGCTGCTAATATGGCAAGTGTTTCAATCAAATAAAGTGTGAAGGAAAGAGGGAAGATGCGTTAATAATTTGATCGAGAATAAAAATTCAAACAAACACTCTTACAATTATGCCCACATATGAATTTTAAGCGTCGAGCCACTGCATAGGCTCTCAACGTCTTCATTAGTGGTGACAGCAAGCAAACAAGTGCAACAACTTAGTGCCGCACAGTGTGTCATGTTCACAAAAAAATGTACATATAATATAAAATATAAATTTTGGTATTTTTATCGCATTTTACTTTATATTTCAGAATTGGGAAATTAGTTCAACTAGGTATGTTTCGATAGAGTTCGATTATATAATCACCTAATAATGATCAATTTCGAGTGATAGAAATTTTAAAAACAAACGCTTATTTTCACTTGGAAGACTTTTTACCCAAATATTAAATACTATTTTTTACAGCACAGTAGTATCTTAAAGACAAATTTCGAAAAACAGATACTTTTTAATTTATGACAAGGACAAATAATGCGTTAAAAAAAATTTAATTAACGTTTGGTTTTTTCTTTATTTTGTAATCCGAAATACTGGATTAAAAAAGAAATCCCAAATACCGGATTGAAAAAAAATTGTATCTCAAATACTGGATTAAAAATAAAAAAGAAATAATTTTATTTCCAAGTTCAGGTATAATTAAGAATTAAAAAAAAAAAAATTGTTTTAGGATTAACATTTTTTTTCGTTGTTCTACCATTATGAAGTGGAGGTCGCCCAAAGCCAACATCTTTAATATTCTAGAGCTCTTGTCGACAACCTTACACATTCAAATGATGTATATTTTATTAATTTTTAATTCTTATTCTGCGTTTAACAATAAAAGTTTCAATTTTTATCCCGAACATATTAAGCTAAAAATAAAATCGGATTTAAAAAACTAAAGTATAATTTTTTAATCCCAACAACACGGATTCCGATGCTGGGATTAAAAAGTAATTTTTTCATTTTGTTTCGAAATTTTTGAATAAAAAAATATTAAACCCTGCTTATATCAGATGATTAATTTTGAGTAAGTGACTTCGAGTCCTATATTGTATATACTATATGTTATCTGGTCTCAATAAATTTATGCATGAATAGAACTCATATTGAATTGGGTCTAGAAATATTGTTTTTTTCGTAATATCCATCAATCCATCAATTGTTTAGTCGACGTGAAAAATCGTCTTACCAAAATCCATTAGCCATTCAAGAGTGACTTGAAGAATATAGGATCCTCGATTTTTTGGAAAATATACACCATAAGTAATGGAATATACAAAGCAGTCTTGTTGTAAATGACAAACTTTTGATAGAAATCGTGATAACCTTTCCGGAACAATTTCCTTAAGTTTCAATTTTATTTCTTTGAAGCTGAACATTAGTTCTTACCACAGTGGTCAACGCAGCAGTCGCAGCAAATTTACCATAAGGTCGCCTAGCGAGTCACATTAATAGCATTCGTCGCGCTCATCAAAAATCCAAGAGACCACAAACAAACAACCTAAAGTAAAGTAAAGGATACAAGAAGTAAAGAAGTTAGAAATGTATAATATATTGGAAGCTTAACTAAAAATTTAAATCCACTAGTGTAGAAACTCAACAAACCCAGAGGAAGAAATTAACAAAGAGTAGCCAAAAGAACACCAACGCGCAATATGACGTAGTCTTGCAGGCAACCACCAACACAAGCATACCAAAACCAACAAGTTCTCGTAATTCACTGCAACAAAGCATATGGTGCGGCATATAGCAGTTGTTTTCGATGGTTTTTAATATTTTCTTGTTATTTTTGTTTGGTACTATAAACAGAGAACACATGAGAGCGAGTCAAATGCATTTGGTGGTGAAAAGGCAAAACCAGTTTCAAAAAGGCAAAAAAATTATCAAACAACCGCTGTTTGAATTAAATGTGAGCGCTCTCTTTCATGCAATATGTTCTCTTAGCTCCAGCGCTTGGCGCTCTTTACATATTGGCCTTGCGCTCTTTTGAAATTTCATACCTTGAAAAATCTTAAAAAATCCAAACAAGTATTATTGACGCAATATATGAGCATATGTGTGTGATATTCGATTGTGAGCCTGGTCTATGACTCGCTGGCATGGCTTTGGAGCTTACTCAGTGACTCGCTTGCATGCCATTGTATTATGTTTGTTGTTTGTTTTTGATGCCAACCATTTGTATGCACTCTCGCATTGTTATGGCTTATTTTGTATTGACGCTGAGCTGTCGTTGGATTGAAGGCGGCTCACGTGAGCGCGTGTGTGGTGTATTTTTTCATATATTTACCATATTTGGGTGAATTTCCAACTGCCAACATACGACATTAGCCTGTTTGGTTGGCCTCTGGCGCCTCATCGGTGGGCTGTATTGCTACCACACCGCATCTACCATCACACCTATACATTCGTACATGTGGGTTTATTTCGTCGTGTGTGTGTTGGCGGCGTCTTGTTTGCTCGTGCGCTCGTTGTTTTCGTTTGTTGGGTGGATTAATATTGTTCGTATGCTATGCTAGCGGCTGTTGTTGTGGCTTCTTCGATTGCCTTCTGCCTGTGCGGCACTGTTGTGGTGTTGCTGCTGTTGCTGCTGCTCATATATGCTTTGGCTCCAGTTATATCCATCGTTTGGGTTGTTGTGCTCGCACGTCTGGAGTGAGCGCTCATTACGTGTTTGACTCTGGTGGTGTACGTTTCGTTTTTACACGTTCAGGCGCGCGTCAGTAGCGGTTCGACTCGATTCGTTTATTCGTCAATTAATAAACCAATGCACAAGAAAATTTGGTGCGGCTTTGCATTTTCGTTCATTGCGTTTATTTGTGTGAAACTTTAATTGAAAGTTTAGAAAAGCTTTTTCTGTGTACCTTATGGGAAAAAAATGTTACATATGAAATGCGAAGTGGAATTTGTGTTTTGAAGAAAAACATATTAAAAGTGATATTTGGTAAGCTGGCTTTTAGGGTTGAAGGAATAGTAGACAAATAGAATTCAGTATCCCAACAATGAAAGTGGAAAACTACATTTGTATGGCCGATTGTAATGTTTGAAGAAATTTTAACACAAATAAACAATAAATTAAAAATTAGCAACATTACAACAAATACCAAACATATAAAACGTGCATTTTCTGTTGCTGATTTATCAATAAATTCGTTGAGAACTGCAGTAAACAGCTGACAAAATAGTCGTATTAGTGAAAAATGCTGACGATACAGCTGTGGCATTGAGCAGTGACGACAATTTACTCAAAACGAAAATAAAACAAAAAGTGATTTTTTCGTAAAATACAAAAACATAAAACAATTGCCATCACGTCTGGATTTATTCAAAAAAATATACTTGGTGGCAAGAAATTTTTAAAATTTTAGAGAAAATAGAAAGATAATAAAAACATATTGTAAAATATTTTTTAAATAATAAAAGTGAGTGAAGTTCAAACTAAAAATATAACACTATAAAATTATTTTTAAAAATTTAACCAAATGTGTTAGTCAAATTGGGCGTCTAATTCAATAAAATATAAAATTTAATAACAAAGTGCATACAAAATTGAGTGCTTACTTAAGGGGCAGTGAGAATAAAGTTGCTAACAGTTATCAGCAAAACAATTAGCGCTTTTATTTCTTTTGTAACGCCCATAAACTAATAAGTAATAAATATTGTGGCAAGTGAGAAAATTTTACAAAGGATATTTTACACAATGGAGTATGTGGCACATACATAAGAATCGATATGCTTCCTGCTTACGGATAGCCTAGCATTAAGTGTCAGTAAGTAGAACTCAAATGAAAACATTAACAAGAAAGAAAATTTTTCAAACTACAATAGTTAGACAAAAAGAACAAAAAAAAATTAAGAAAAAATAACTTTTTTAAAAAGTGAAAGGCACCAAAAACATAATTTTTTCGAGAGAAGGAAAAAGGTATACAAACACTTCAAACTCTGCAACACTAAAAAGTTTTAAGTGGGCGCCGGCCCTCGTCCAATATCAGTGCATGAGTTTTAGGGTGCCTAAAACAGCGTTTTAGAGCAGAACATATTTTTAGTAGCAAGCACTTACGCGTTTTGCAACATGAGTACATACTTCAAAAAACTCCATGTCATAAGTATGCAATAAGAGCCGCTGAAAGAGGCGAGTGCAACACAACAACACAATAATTTATGTACATACCCACACAGCAACAAGCACTTGTAATTAAATATGAGCATATGCACATGTCCACAATGTTGCTGATAAATACGCCGGGTCAGCGTGCATATCTGACCTGCATTAAGGCGAGTGCGAGCAATGTGGCAACAACAAACATAAATGCCATATATGCACATGCGTACATATGTATGCATACATGCTGTTGCAGGTTGTACGTCAGTATAATAGATGAATATAATATTCTACAAAAACAATAATAATACGAAAGTAATCGAATTTTCTCATGCTGCGTTTAATAACAAAACGCCTCAGATTTTTGTTTGCGAGCAAAATGTGTTCAACTGCAATACAAAGAAATTCGAACTCGAAATTAATTTCAAAGCATTAAAAATCAATGCTTTATAGTAACCGTAAACACAAGCATATACATGCAGTCATTAAAATGTCTGCAACACTTTGCTCATCTGCTGTCAGACAAGCAGACAAAGAGCTGCCAACGCTTGTGGCAGCAAACAGCTTCTTGCCACGTTTATAACGGGCTGTTTGAAAAACAGTTTTGTGCCAAATATTGCATGCCACAAATTGGCCCTTACCGTTGTCAATTTACAAAATACACTAAACACTTTGCTTTTTTTTCTTTTTTGCGATTTTGCTAACACAGCAACATATGTTAGCCCTATCTTGCCCAAAAGAGAAAATTTAAAGTACAATTGTATGCAATTATATTGGCATGTTGTTGTTGTCGCCACTGCTGTCAATGACCATCATTTAAGCCTTTACCGCCCATTCCATTATACATTATTGTTTTCTATGCTTTTTTTGTCAGTTTATTTGAGTCAACAATATTGCGTCCTTTCATCAATTTTTGCTGTGTTTTTGGCTTTGCATTTTTGCACGTCTAGATTCTCCGTTCATCTTTTAACTATATTTTCGCACTTTTTCTTTGCATCATTGTTATTGCTGTTATTGACAGCAATCAGCAGCATCCAAAATGTGTCGCATTGCTTGTTGTAATTTGTTTTTTTCTTTGCTCCTCTCACAGTTATTATGTTTTTTGGCATACATTCTGTTTTGTTTCAAGTAGTGCCTCCTTAACTCGTGCTTCTAACTTTAAATATTTGCGTGCTTTCAACATTCATCACTTATCTTTGTTTCGCTACATCCAGTTTATAAAAGATTGAGTAAAATGTTCAAAATAATTGCTTTAATATATTTATAATTTCTATATAAAAATATATTTTAATATCATTATTTTACGGTAAAATTAATAGCAGCTATTATATATCTTTGTTTTTTTTTGATATATAATAGATTTGTTTTTTAAACACATTCATCAATCATATTTTTCGTAAAATTTAAAATTTTAGGTTTTTGAATACCACTTTAGAAAGTTTGAGCAACTCGGTTTTTGTTTCTATATATTCGTAACTTTGGCACTTATAATACTAATGCTGTTTTTATATTAACAACTCAATACGTTATCTCCTATGATTCGAAATCAAAATCTATGATTAGGAGCTCACAAGATGCTTGTAACGAAAATTGTAAGTCGAAACCTCTGTCTAGAGTTATGCTGCCATACACGTTGATTTTTAAACTCCAATAGATCGTAATATATAACATGCTTTGTTTAGGAAAGTTGAAGGCTAGGAAGAAGGTTGGAATGTAAACTTAAACTATTTTCAAATACTAAATTTAATTTTACAAGATAGAACGATTACTTTGGCTGCACCGAAGCTTTTATTCTCACAGGTGAAATTCTTAAAGCATAAAAGGTTAAAAAAAATCTTTATCTTGATTTCGGTCAGTTAGTTGGTATAGTAGCTATATGCTGTAGTGGTCTGATATGGGCGATTCCCACAAATAACCAAGTTCTTGTTTAAAAAAGTAGATGTGATAAATTGCATGTCGATGAGGATTATGGCATCTGTCATAGATTAACTGCTTGGTTAAGTTGAAAAATATTCCGACTTTTGCTACTAATTTTTACCAGCAAGCTTTATTTATTTAAGTAGATTACCGAAAATTCAAACAAAGATCGATAAAAATTATTAAAAATAATAGACAGATATTATAGTTTGAAAGGAAAATATTAAAATACATAAAAAAAGGCCAAGAAATAGTCAGTATTATTTATATATGATATAAATTTTAATTTTTATCGATATAAGATCTTCGAGCAGTCATAAAATACATACCATACATTAAAATATACATAAATTTTTTAAATAATCGCAATTATGCTTTGTATACCTCTCATTCGTACACTTTCAAAAAAGCATACTGTAAAGTGTGAATCCCTTACAATCGCCGTAGTGCTTACTTTTAATGCTTAGTTATTAAATTTTATATCAGAAAAGGTATCAGAAATCTATAAAAATTTTACACTTCACACTGCATGAGCTACTGTTGCAACATACTTACCACATATTATTATTTGAGCACATACTACAAATACTTTTATATTCATGATAACAATATTAAATTTACTTACTTGTGTCTATATGTACACATTGGCTCAAGGATTGATGGTCACATGCCAGCTATTGAACACTGGACAATCATTATTTAAGCCTCTGCAAATGTTGGTCTGCAAGTATCTTAAATTGGCACAAGTCACTGGCATAATTAATTTTTATCTTGCTGGCAAATGAAAGAAACGCAGACACACTGGGACAGGCGCGTAAATAGTTTGTAGTCACAGCAAATCGGCCGAACGCCAACGACAATTAATTAATATGCGTGGCAATGGGCTGTGAGTGAAATGGACCAACGGCCACAATAAATTCAAATGAATTGGAATGATGCTATACAAATACCAAATTGGAATTGTGAATTAACGGCACTACTTTTCAGAATATTTTTCTTCTTTTTAATTTTTTTTTATTGAGTTTTGTGTCTTTTGATACTGTTATAGCGGAGGGGTGAATGTGTGTGTGTTTTGTTTCTAAATACAAAGAAAAAATGTAAATGAAAATGGATTGTATTGGATCACTTAATAAAATGGAATGGTGGGGAGTAAACATTATGTATATACAAAAATGCTAATGTCTTTAAGGCAATCGCTGTACCATTTGTGTTCGATTGCTATAATGATATTGTTGTTGTTGCGATTTTTAATGATTTTGACTTTCAACAACAGCGAGCGTTGCGTTAAAAAGTCAAATTTGATGACTTCTATATGGTATTTGTATTTGTATGAAAGTATTGTGTACATTAACTACATTGTATTTGTTGCTTTAGTTTTATTTGTTGCTGTCACTGCTGACAGTTGATCAAGCACATTGAATATCATCAATAAGACATAATATATGTATTTCACTTTATAAACATATATTTTTGTTTCAGATAAACACACACTCACAATTTTACGCGTTTGTGCCACAATATCGTCAGCATTGCCAGTTAAAGCTGAGCTTTACATTGCCCTTGCATGAAAATTGAAATATTCCTCCTCCTCATTATAGATATTTTCCGAGCGTGTAATAAGCACTTAACCAGTTACTCACACAAACACAAACACACGATTGGCTTGTGCTGTTATCCTTTGCTTTATGCCCTACCACCGCATTTACAAGCCATCAGCTGTCATAATCAGTTGTGATCTGCTCATTTCCACTTTTGATTACTTTGTTTACGCTCACTAAAATTAATGCGGAAAAAGTTTATGACTGCGCAAAAGAACACACACACCCACACACTTTTACATATCCATACAAAAGGCAGTGTATACACATGCATAGGTACAGGCGGGATGCCAAGTTTCATAGCCTGTCATTCGGCGCTGTTTTTGTCACATTTTATAATCCTCTAGCACAAACTCTCGCGAAGTTACTGCTCTTCATCAGTTAATATATGGTATGTTTTTACATTGCATAAACTTAATTTTTAACATATGTATGTATGGACGTATTATATGCATATATGTACGTATATATATTGTATGTGTTTATAAGTACTTGATAAGTTGGCTGTGTCGCCAATGCGGTTGGCCTGTGGACAGCGGTGGTATTATGGTGCTAGTTTTGCAAAATGTCACTTCATGGCATTTTAGCACTTGCTTTCCAACAACTACAACAACAATAACTATTATTTACTACCTCAAAGCTGGCCTTCGTGTATCATTTGCCACTTTTAATGCGCCCAACATTATTACAAAATTACTTGGGTAGTGCAATATACTGTGTCCTTTATGAATCAATATGAGATTGTGTGTGGGTGTGCGTGCATCAATTTTTCAACACTATTCTTGTATATCAGTGACTTAGGGAATTATGAGACAAAAGTTTAGAAATGATGTGAGGATTGCTAAAAATTGCATAACTATATTATGCAATATCCAAAATATATTAATCTTTTTTTAAATCGATATATTCCTGTAGATATTTGCAAATTTTAAAGACGATATAAACATTTTATAAATAAAATTAGGTATACTTAAATATAGCTTTCCACTTTAGTGTAGATATAATATGTTTTATATTTGAAAAATTTATACGTTTAATATTTTTTAAATATTTATAATGCCTAGAAGCTGAATTTTCTAAATAACTTTTAGTGGAGTAGACTTTGGTCGGGTTTTTAAAATATTTTTATAAAATATAAACACAACTTGCATAT